TGTCAACTGAAGCACCAACTGCCTTGAAAGATTTCTTATTTTAAAACTATATATGCTTCCTTATTAATGTTTATTAAAGATAGGTTCCTGTTACTGTGATAATTTGGAAGAGTCATTATGAAACCATAGCTAAATAATATTCTCCAAGGTGACAGGTGTGATGGCTGGAACACGATGTCTGGGTCTTGGTGTAAGATGGCAGTCCCTATTTCACCTCAGGCGAGTTTCTGAACATCTGTGTCCCAGACTCTTCTTACGTGTAAACAGCAATAACTAGGGTTTCTATTGCATGGGGCTGTTGTCTGGGTTGAACTGGATTGTATGTGAATGTGCCTTGCACAGTGCCTAGTATATAGAAAACAACAAATTAACATTTTTATTATTATTATAGTAATCACTATTTTGACTCTATTAAATTGGAATTGATTTGAAGTACAGTGCTAGGTGTTAAGGATTCTAATCTCATAACATGATTGTTACCATCAGTTCTACCAATAAGTCATAAATACATGTTAAAACAGGCATATAAATCAATAAATTACAATGCATTAGGGAAGTTTCTGTTACATTTTTCTGAGACAACTAATTGGATCTCTACCTGTTAAAGGAATTCTCTGTAACCCATAAGAAGGGTATTTAGGGAAACCTCTCAGGACCTACAAATTAAAGGATTTCTAGAGTTAATGACACATGATAATTTCATTTTGCCATTAAAAGGGCATGAGAAATAACACTGCTCTTGGATGAAAATCAATTAAAGCTGATACCTGCTTCAAAATGCTTCTGCTTTTCTTTATTATCAAGGACCCAATTGAAAATTAGGAAAAACCTAGTGTAAGACACTAATAACTCAAAATTCTATAAAATGTACATTTTGCTCAAATTCTGTCTTTTTTTTAATAATACCTGGTCAAAATGGAAAAATAAAAGGCCAGTTTATTGAACTATTAGCTATCTAAATTATGACATCAGAATGGCATCAGCTGAACTGCTTTCAGGCCAGTGACTGGACTGGATCCTGGCCGGTACCAATTGCTGGGATGCCATTCTCTGAACTACTCTCAAACACATACAGATGAGAAATAATGTATTTGTTTCTTTTCCCTCATCCTCTTGAATCACTGACTATGGGAAATGGTGAATCCAGACTTGCTTCCTCACAGATCTGTGTGCCATCTGAATGGCCTGATGACGGTAAACACATCCACAGTCTTGGTCGTAAAACCCATCAGAAGTGGTGGCAGCAGCGGCAGCAATAGCTGGTCCTGTTGGGGGGCATTTGAGATGCTGCAGATGGCAGGGCTGGCAGGAGCAGAAGGAGGGTTGGTGAGCCTGAGATGCATGCTTGCTGTAGACAAAATCTATCTTTAGTTCTAGAAGAGGATCATCATCATCATTGCTGTTGTGATACGCTGGTTACTGTGGTTTTAATCCTAGTGTTCTTGAGATGCCGTGCTATTTGCTCACCTATAAACACTGTTTATGACATCGGTTTTGTGTGCAGTGTTCAACTGGGAAAGTTGAGGGCATATCCCATCTCATTCTAAAAGTGACATAGGGAATCTCACTACCTTTTACTTATCCCTCAACTACGCACTTCTCTCTGTGGCTGTATTAGTAACTTCCGCGGAAATAAGCTTCAGAGGCAGGTAGGAAGGAATACAATGTCAGTGACTTACTGATGCTGTATATTTGCCCAAGAGCCCATTTCCCAAAGCAAGTGAAGTGTGTGCATTTAGTTAGGAGAGACCATGTCTGCTGTGGTAACAAACGAACCAAATGGCTTAACATAACATGTTTAGTTCCTGCTTACATAAAGATCACTGTGGGTCTAGGTAACCTTCCAGGGCCACTGTCCCCAGTGAGGCCATTCAGTAACCCAAGACGCTTCGATCTCATACACTTCGCCATTTCAGTTTTGTTGCAGAAAGGACTTGAGAGAGAGAAGAATTGCTGAGGACTCACATCACTTCTGCTCACACCTGTTTGGTCAGAAATTGTCGAATGGCCTAACATAACTGCCAAGGGGCTGGGAAGTACAGGCCCCCGTTTTTATCTCCCGTCTTCCTGCATAGGAAGGAAAGAAAGGATGGAAATTCCCAAGGGCATTAGTAAGCACTGTGCGCCGTAGTATGTGAGATGATTTTAAGTGGTATGAAGAGAAACTTTTACAATTTTTGCTTGTCTTCAGCCTGTATTTGAAAAACACAAGTAGCACATTGTCCCTAAGAGGTTTTGGCTTCATTTTATATAAATCTAAACTTTAATTGTAGATACTACACTATTATGATAAAAATGGTGAAAGTGACAAAGATGTCTAATGTTTTAATAACACTGACCGAAAAGAACTCCTATAAAACTCAAACTTTGGTACTTAGAACTGTAGGCACACTGGGAGTACAGGGTGGGGGCACTAGAATTTGCTCTTTTAGCAGAGACCCTGGATAATTGAGGATCAGATCGCCGTGGACCATGTGCTGGGAAGGATTATTTCAGAGGCCAGTTGCTCTTCTGCTGTTAAAACTGGGGAGCCAGGGGCAGAACCCACCATGGGGAAGCCCGGAACGCCTGATGAGTACTCAGTTCCCCATGTTTTTCTCACTGCCATGTTGTGACCCTAACTACAAAGGGTGAGTATTTTGGAATAAGACATTTAAGCTGCCAGGCAGTACCTCTAGAAAGAACTGCCATCTACCTTCTCACTGGCCTTCCATGTTGTTCAAACTGGTAGTCTCACTCCTCTCAGCTAAAATATAATAATAGCAACAGTTACTATTGCTAGACTCAAAGCTCTTCCATTTACTAAAGCTCTTCATTCACTGTTGGTGGTAAAGTCAGTCTTGTTATTTAAAAAAATTTTCCATTTCCATGTTTTCCAAGGGTGCCTAGAAATTTCTACCAAAGAGGATGACTTTGCAGTCTTGATTTGTCTATATTTATAATATTTTTGCTTTGTATGTTGATTATTAATAGAAGACTCTTTTACTTTTAAAAATGTCTTGTTTGGATGATAAATTATGTGGGGATTCTGCTCCTGAGAATTCTTCTTAATTCTACTTTATGATGTGAATGACTGATTCGGTCCCAAAGACTTTTCGTTCCGTTGCTAGTGGCTAGGGCCACGAGGGTAGCTGAAACTACGATTCGTTCTGGATGTTTAGTATTTTTAATAGACATTTTGGGGGGCCATCATCTCTATGTTCTGTACACAGTAGAGAGACAGGTAGAAGACGTATGGAGGCGTCAGAGGGAATAAGAGTGACGTTGATGGCTGAGGGATAAACCAAAGCACATTCTTGAGGAACCCAAAGGAGCTCATTATTCTAGCATGTTCTTCAAAATGCCCTAACCGAATCTGAAGGATGGCATGTGAAACTGAAGATGAAATTTGATATGTAGCTGTATGTGTATAACTAGCATTCATAACATCTGTTACCCCATCAACGTTTAACGGTGTGAATTCTGTATCATAATGAAATGGTTGTAATGTCTTACGTTGCCTCAGTTCCATAATAGGGTTAGGACAGACACTGTACAGTCTTCAGTGGAATTTCAGTTGCATGAGTGTCGCCTTGTATTTGCAGTAAAAGTTATATGCATCACATTGACTTGTCCTGGAATCCTACCCTTAGATAACACATTCAAAAGCTGCTATTTGCTTTCTAGTTATTTCAATTCTGGGAGAAAGTAAAAGAGGATTCCAAAGGTACATTATAGCACACCGAGAACAACTTTTTTGTCTGTAGCTCATCAGAATGGCTTTTAAAATATGCAAGCACCTTCAGAGACCACCCCAGTTTAAAAGTATCTAAACATTTCGTGTTGCTTTACTGATAAATAATGTTTGGAGTTTGTTATCTTTTGTAGAGACCATGAAAATCTTATTATTTATAATATCCAGTGGCATTTACATTTTGCTAAATATACTCTGCTTGCAATAGAATATATCATGCTTAGGAAAACAGGGAGAGAATGCCTGGCTCTATATTTGCTTATGTATAACGCAAAATATCAGGGTAAACTGTGTTATCTTTTTGTTATAACTACATGATTTTAAAAACATAATTCTCAAGAAGTGTCCTTAATCATTACCATGTAAAATGCAGAATGAGAAAAAGTTATAGTTGAAATCCTTTGTTTACTGTTTAACTTTGAACTAGCAAATCAAATACCCATTCAAGTTTATTGGTATCTTTAAATAATACCATTCATTTACACGCCAACAGCTACAGAGTGTTTGGTTTCGTTTTTTTGAGATTGATTGAAAGTAGATTGTAAAGTTGACCTATTGTGTTAAGCTTATTTACACAAACACGGTGTCTCGGAAAATAAACTCGGAAAGTGCAGTGCAGTTGAATCCCAAGGTATTTTACATCCTGAGCTTTCTAATAGCTGCTTTACTGGGAGCTGTCCCGGAGAGAATCTCAACTTTACCGTAGTTAACCTTATGGAGGAGAAAATCACCTCAAAAGTTAATTATTCCCAAATTTGAGATGGAATTTATGACTTACTTATAAAAAAAAGAATTTGCTTGTAACTGATTTGAAGAATTTGCCTTCGCAAAACAATTTGTTAGTTTTACATTTTTCAAGCTCCAGAAACACTTTCCTTACAGAAGTTGAAAATGGCATTTCCACGATGTAATCAATAGAAAAAGCCATAAATGTGAGAAAAAATACAACTTCAGTGGAAACCCTGAAAAAAATCAATTTGGGTACCTGATGGTGACACACAGATTGTTTAAAGTGAACCTGTATTTATTCAAGGGTTAATCTTGACGAGTGAGCATTTAAAAGCCCTTCCTGACACTCCATCCTCTTCTGCTATATATTCTTAAGTAATCAACCTATTGTATATCATGCTCCCTCCTGCTTCCCCCCTTTCCCATCAAAACTCGGACTTTTCTCCTGTCGCTGAGTGACACGGGGCCAGGAATACTGGGAGGGCGGGCGGGTGGGACCAGGGCACGTGGACCAGCAACACTTCCTAGAAACAGCAAGTACGCTCAACCCTGCCTGAACTTTTGCTGTAAACAGAGCTCGCTGACAGAGCGGCATCCCTGCTGGGTGGATCCTGCAACTCCTGGAGGGGATGGCACTTCTTGTTTTTAATTAGCAAGGTGAAAGGTGAATTAAAACTAGCTATTTGGCAAGTCAGTACAAGAGGCTGACTTCTGAGGGGCTTCAGCGAGCCCGGAGAGAAGAGCTGTACGGGTGGAAGGCAGTGCGTGTGCTCGGGTTTTGGATGTTTTTTTTTTTCTTCCCCTGAATGAACCGCTTGCAGAAGTGACTACAAAAATACAGGTTCTTCCTGAATCTACCGGCATAGTTACTGAAGAGAGCTCTAGACAGGACATGGCTCAGAAGACTCACTCCTTGGAATGTCCCCTTGCTCCCGGCTTATAAACAACTGTCCTGGGGAAAAGCAGGTTTTACAGACCCAGATACAGCCTGACAAATGGCACTTTGGAACTGTGCTTTCTGATGACAGCGCCTTCGATTTCTGACAAAGCCTCTTGCACGCTGCCCCTGGAGGGAAGTCCGAAGTAAAACTCACCCCGCCTGGAAGTGAGGATTGCAGTGCAGCATGGCATCGGCGGGGCACCTTGTCACCTGGCTCCTGTGGGGCTGCGTATTGGAGCTCTGGACAGGGGGTCACACAGCCGAGACCCCGCACCCCCGGTTACGCCTGTCACATAAAGGTAGGTCACCTTTTCAGATCCTTTTGTTAAAAAAAAAATGAGAAAAGAATGAAAGTCCTTTAACCTAGATCTTTAGTCTTAACAGACCCTTAAAACGTACCTGAAAAAAATTATTGCAACACTAACCTGAGGTTCTAAGTACCTCTAGTGGATAGGTCATACTTAGCACAGCTGAAAATAGTGTAAAATCACAGGCCAACCAAGAGATGTTATTTTTGTCTTGTAAATATTAGGTTTTGTTAATGAGAAGTTCACTCACTAGCAGACACCACAGAAGGGGGTAGGAAGCAGGTTGTAAAGAGGCTTAAAGGGCTGAATCCGCCAACTTAGCAGCGGTTATTTAAATTCCAATTTATGCACTACAAGAAGCAAGGATGTTGGGGAAGGGCTGGAGAAATAGAGGTGCAACTGGTTTTTTGTTTTGTGTTGTTCACAATGGAGAGTGGAGGGGGAGAAAAAAAAATTCCTGAGAAGCAAAATGATTGCTTACCCATGATAACAAAGTCATCACCGTGTAATTAAAATGACTAACACCTGATATAAATTAGCTTTCTACTTAAATTGATAATTACAGATGTGTGATATGTGTGGCAAAAACATATTCAGAGTTGATTAGCACTCCTTGTGAACAGATTTAGATTGATTAAAGTATTAGACATTATTCACCAGCATCTATTCTTTTTAATGTAAATGCATATTGCTTAACTGAAGACCATGTCTATCAGAGATTGCTGAAATATTTTATTCTGCAACTGTGTCTTGTAAAGCAGCACTGAGTCATAAATAAATGATCAAAAGATGGCTTTTGCATCAGGACCAGTGAAAGCCGGTCAGAAATAGGTTTGATGACTCTTACTGTAAACAGACAAACAACAAACAAAGTCCACACTCTGAGAAAGTGGCTTTGCTGACTTAAAAGTAATTTGGAATAAATTTTCAGGAAAGAAGTATTTACTATCACTGACCATTGAGGCAGATGACAGATGCAATAATGAGAATTACGTAAGAACTGTTTTTCAATTGTGTAAGTGTGTCAGTCATCCCCCGCTAATAGAAGTCTGTATTTTTACAATATGGGTATAATATTGACCAGAACGAGAAACTAAAAAGGAGACCTCAATTTTATATGACGCTATTTTTTTGTCTTTTTATTGGACAGTCATCAGCTGATTTGACTATAGAAATGTCTCATTTTTAGAACAGCTAACATTTATGGATATTTTCATAGTTTAAATAGATTTCATATAATAATCCCCAGTCAACAACATATATTTAAAAAACACATTCATATAAAAAACACATTGACACTTAATTGGTAAAGTATTTAAAATATAGTACCTAGCATTAGCCCAAGTCATTTGACTTGGGAAGATGTACCATGGTATGCTTCAGAATGCATATTTCTAAGAAATTAAGATCAAATACATCAAAATGTAAACATTTGATGTGATGGAATATGGGCATATAAGGATGTCAGAAAAAAAACATAATGATGGACTGTTTTCCTTACGCAGATGAGTGGATAAGCTGACACGTTGATAAGCTACCATTCTGCCTGGTATCAACGTTCTGTACCTGATTATTAGGGTAATTGCTTTTTGATAGCTCAATATCGGTATGTTTCCAAAGATGCCTTATTTTAATATGTCATTAGAGTGCTTATAATTTGGTCAGAGCAGACCAGAACTCTCATGCATAATATTGTCATCAGCCTAATCTTCACCACATTGCTCTTAATCAAAGGAATAACTATAACTGATTTTATGAGTTGTGTTAGATGGTGTGGGAGGACCCCTGCTAGTATCTATATGTATACTAGGCTGAAAATTTCCACAAGATTTCCCTTTGGCTTTTCTTAACCTTTTGATTTAATAGTACTTGCTGGAAATGTACAATAGTATGCTTTGATACAAAGGCAGTATAACAAATGAACTTATTTACAAAACAGAAAGAGACTCAGACATAGAAAACAAACTTATGGTTACCAGGGCTGGGGGAAGGGGGTGAGAAGAGATAAATCGGGAACCTGAGATGCGTAGATACTAACTACTATATATAAAATATATAAACAACGAGGTCCTACTGTATAGCACAGGAAACTATATTCAGTATCTTGTAGTAATTTATAAAGAAAAAGAATATGAAAAGGAATATATGTATGTATATGGATAACTGTAACATTATGCTCTACATCAGAAATTGACACATTGTTAACTGACTATACTTCAGTTAAAAAAAAAAATCAAAGACGTTGTAGAGTTACCTGAAAATAGAATGTCCCCACTTGTGCAGTTTAGTTAGCAGAGTCAGCTAAGAGATGCAACCTGAAGCAGCAAAGGCTTCCTGCACCGCAGGTGGCTCAGTGAGAGGGGAGCACAGGACTGTCAGAGCAGGAGTATTCAAGCCCCATCAACACAATATGAACAGCACATTTACCTCTCCACACTGGGGAATCCGTGGACATTTCAGTGGTGTCCAAAAACTGGGGGTAGGATATTTGAGAGTATAATCTGTTGCTATCTTAAATGATATCTCAAATGGTGCAATTTTAGTAATGGGTGGATTAGGTGATTAATATTATAAATCAGTACATGGTCCTTAAAAATAAGAGACATGAGATATAAATAAGCTAGCACCTCTGCACTGCTGCCTGATCCCCCGGCATAGAAATCCTGTAGGATCCCTGGAGGTGGCCTACTGGATTAATCCAGGGATTCATTTCATAGCAGTGGTCTATGCCATATGGGAGGATAAGCATTTTTCTTATATTTTCCATTATCAAGATGGCGCTGGAGACCACAAGCCTTGGGTCTCTTCCTGAAGAGGAGGAGAAAGTTTCAGTGTCATATATAAAAATTGAGTTGAATTATATAAAAATACGTCCAGAAAAAAAAAATCCCCAAGTGTTGCCCTTTTTCTCTCTCCTCCATCCTTCTCTGTCTCTGGAAGCAGTGTGTTCTTAAACAGAGCTTGAGAGGAGGAGACCATTGGGACCAGGAGGGAGAAAAGGTGAAGAGGGAGAGAGACGAGGTGAAAAGCTGGTTTCAGATGAGGAGCGTCTTCTCGCCTATCCCTCCATGGGATAGCACTGAATTCTTCCTTCTTACCGAATATCCACTCCACTCCAGTATTGGGCAGATATGCTAACTTAAGGCAAGCCTAGTAGATACAAAGATTAAATATTTACTCTTGTTGAGGCAATGCATTAATCTTTTAATGTATTTTATAGGTACAAGATAAACTAGGTTAACAAATCAAAATATACACAGAGAAAACTGGCAAGATTCTGTCCTGCACCATAAGAATTTCAGTCAAGACTTGAGTAGAGATTAACTGTATCAGGCAAGAATTTAAAAGTTTATGAATCATTAAGAATATATAGCCAACTTTATAGCCAATACCGTAAAGAAGGCAATTTTGGTATAATTAACACAAATTTATAATATTCTACCCCAAAGATTTCTTTGAAAAATAGCTAGGATCCTCATGACAGAAATGAAGGAAAGAGAGAACGGGGGGAGAGAGGCTGTGGTGGATTCGGCCACCTCCCTCTGTTGATATCTGTTACCTCCTCATCTTTCACCATCCTGCATTCATGAGGTTACAGGGAAGGCAAAAATTAACCTTCCTGATAATGGGCCTCAAAAAAACAAATGAGTAGAGCCCGTGTCAAAGAAGAAATCCCAATGCACGTGGAAAGCCCCAGAAATTCAACAAAGGGAGCTTGGCAGGTAGGGTAGGTGTTCAAAGACCCAGTGAGGAGCTTCCGAATTGCAGAAGCCAAGGAGAAGGGCTGCTTCTAAGCAGAAGATGTTCTCCCAGGATGTTTGGTGAAGAGAGAGAGCTAAATAAATGCATGAATATGGCGGAATATAGATTTGAGCACTGAATACTTATCCATACATACAGAACATGGGCTAGAGAGTGTTAATTAGTCTGTCTGTATTTGAATATTATAAGCAGTTAAATGCAGATTCGTCATAGTTCAGAGAGCTCAGAATTTGAAGTCAGAGGTCTCTGCTCCAGCTCTGGTCCTTCCGCATATCCATATGGTAATTATCTGTGCCTCAGTTTCCTTAATTTGAAAATAAGGATAATGATGGTGCTCTCCCTGTGTATCTCACTGGGTTTTTGAGAGAATCAAATGAGACAATAATACTGTGAAAGCACTTTATAACCTAGCAATATTACTAGTAATGTTTCCTGAAGACTGATAGAAAATAAGGAGGTTGGAAGGAAACATGTCCTAAAGAGAAGAAACTCTTGGAAACTGCTTGAGTTTGGGTATCAGTAAGTGCTAGGATAATGCTAGTATAGACGACGGAAAAACTTGGTCTTGATTAGCATAAAATACATTGTGTATCCTGACTGCATTCACTCCAAATCCCGTCTTTCATACCTTTGACCTCTGGGTATAATAATTTAGAATATGATTACATCACCTATGCGTTTTCCAAAATTCATGGCCAGTATTTTTCGCTAAAAACATGTGCATGTATCCGTGTACTACATATATGCACTTTACACTGCATAGTTCAGAACAGAGTTCTGGAAGAGCGCAGTGATAAGTAAGAGTTTTGAGTAATTAGCTCAGAGGCTGTGGTATTTATTTTACATCCAGAGCAAATTTTGAAAAGGCGGTGACTGAGCCAGCTTTTCCTGACGCAGCTCCTGGCTGTGGTTCCTCAGCAAGTAACGAGGTATTATCAACAGTGACGTTAGTCACACGTCCCTGTTTGGTTAATAAATAAAAACTGGTCATAAGGCATGATTCATAAAACAAGTAGTTCAGTAGGACCTGGGAGTAACCTATGATGCCCACATCTCCATGAGGGGGAGTCAGTGAGAATGAAGTGGTGGATTTATTAAGAAACCATTGGTATTTAAAAAAAAAAGAAAGAAAGCAAGCCACTGGGTAAGATAAAAGGAATTATAATATGTTTTGTTGAGTTTGGTTTACACAGAATATACTTCCTGTAGAGGAAGTCTGTGTAAGGATT